CAGGTTTAGTAAGCGTACTAAACCCTAAAAGGGTTTTTTACTAAACTTTTGAAGCGGTAGCGTGTCATTGCATTTTGCTAAACCCCTTTTGGGTTTAGTAAACGACGCTTTTTTTTTAGAGTGTAGCTCGAGATCATCTGAAGAGGAAGACTTAACCCTTTACTATAGTCAGTTTTGATTTTATCCTTTTCTACTGTAAAAAGATCTGTTGTTGCTGACTGATCTGATTCAGATCTGACGTACAATCTGATGTGGGTTACCTCCGTTCCATCGTTTTTCACAAATCCTAGCTGTAATAACACCACTAAGATTGTGAGTAGTCAACGACTTATCTATAGTAAAAAAGATTTTTCGAGAACAAAAATACGACTATAGGAAGAATTTCATCTACTGTTATTTGTTGATGGCGTCAACATGACGACTAATATATTGACAAAAATTGCAAACTGTGTGTGCCAAACACGAGCTACAGTGTTGGTTTGAGTCATGAAATGAAAATGAGCTCGAATATACAAATTTCGTCCGCCACTTTTTAATGGGAATAATCTGGTTATGAGGCATGTCGTCTAGTCTGTCAGTTTGGTCGGAGTCGACAGTTTTATGTATTTCTAAGAAAATGATTATTGTCAGTTTTTCCCGCAGGTCTGCGTCAAACTATCAGATGTAATAAAAGGATAAATAAGAAAATACTGAGCAATGTCTAAGTGGAATGAGTGAGCCTAAGAGCGCGATTTGGGATCCACGACAAAGTTTTCCCTGAGCAGATTTTGAAAACTAAATCATAAAGAATCTGCTGCAGCTGACAGCCAGCAATAAAAATACCACTATAGTTAATTATACAGTATGTTCGGTTCACAGCACTTCTTCTGGCAGCGGTCAAAAGCTTGCATGAGGAAAGTGTTCTAGACCTGTGAAACATTATTAGCATAACGCCATGATTAGAAAGTTTGATCCTAGGTATCCATGACGGAAAATATCTGAATCAGTTCTGCAGTAAAATCAGATTTTTATCTACGCAAATAAGAAAAAAATACTTGTCTTTCTTTTCTATTTTTTTGTTACATAAAAATTGCGTTCTTATTCTTCTTTGCACTCTCGTTTCAACGGCAGACGAAAAAACATGCTACGTACAAAATCATCTTTAGTTCAATACGTTCCATTAAAATTTATCACAATCTCCAGTAAAATTTGTGCATTTGCTGCGGATGTTTGTATTCAACAAATATTTGAAAACTCAGACGAAAAGCCTATTGAGGCCGTCTATTGTTTTCCGATGGAAGAAAATGGTGCCGTTTATTCGTTTATTGCTCAACTTGATGAACGAAAAATTGTTGCACAATTAAAAGAAAAATGTGAAGCGCAGCAACAATATTCACAAGCAATACAACAAGGTCATGGTGCTTATCTATTGGAACAAGATGAAAAGTCGAACGATATATTTGTGGTGAATGTTGGCGCACTGTTACCAAAGAAACAGTGTCAGATTGATATACGATATGTAACAGAATTGGAATTAG